ATATTTCTTGTGTTCCTTTCTTTACTTCTGTTATTCTCATTACGTATATGTTACAACTTTTATTATGTTTCACAATTCTGTTAAGTGTTTTTCTTTCTTTTTTTTCTCTTGTTGGCTTGGAAAGTTTTTATTGCCAACTCTTTAACATACCTATTCTCTTTGTGTTGAGTGTACTGAAGAGTAATCAGAGGCATTTGTTGTTATTTCTAGCATTTTCTTTTGATTGTTTTTTTTTTAAATTTTTTTAAAAGATTTATTTATTTATTCATTCATTCCTTCATTTTAATTTGACCAGAGAGAGAGACACAGAGAGAGAGAGGAAAGTGAGAAAGCCAGCCACCAGGTCCAGGACTTGAACTGTGGTCGGCCATGTGGGAGTATCCAGTGCCTTAACCACCACGTCACCTGCTGATGGCCACGCCACAATCCCTTTTCCTCCATTCTCCTCTCAGAATCTTGGGTATGCACACACACGCGCCCGCCGTGAGTTTAAGCCACCGGGTCCGGGACTCGAACCGCGGTCGACTACGTGGGAGTCCAGCGACATAGCCATTACGCTAACTGCTGGTCCCAAGTTACTCTACTTTTCAATTCAAAAATTTCCATTTGCTTCTTTAATAGTTTGCATTCCTTTTGTTTGTTTGTTTGTTTGTTTGTTTGTTTGTTTTGAGAGATTTTCATTGTAGGGCGCGTGCACTTGCCAGACAGACAGAGAGAGACATAGAGACAGAAAGCGAGAAATCACCCCCCAGGGGGGATGGTCACGCTGCAATCCCTTCTCCTCCATTCTCCTCTCGGGATCTTGGGCACGCATGCACATGCGCACAGCGTGAGTTTTAAGCCACCGGGTCTGGGACACGAACCGCGGTCGACTATGTGGGAGTCCAGTGACATAGCCATTACGCTAACTGCTGGTTCCCTGCATTCCTTTTTTGATAGTTCCTGTTGGCTTAGTCATGTCATCACCTACATTTTAAAAAACTTTTTAAAGCATGGTTTCTTTTTCTTTTTTAAAGAAATTTTTATCTTAGGGCTCATGTACTTGCCAGAGAGACAGAGACAGTGAGAGGGAAAGTGAGAAATCACTCCCAAAGGGGGATGGCCACGCTGCAGTCCCTTCTCCTTAATTCTCCTCTTGGGATCTTGGTCATGCACACACATGCCCTGGCATGATTTTTAAGTCACCAGGTCTGGGACTCGAACTGCGTTTGGCCATGTGGGTGTCTAGCGATGTAACCGCAATGCCATCTGCTGGTCCCAAGCATGGTTTCTTTTAATTCTTTGAATATATTTATAATAACTCTTTTGAAGTCTTTCTGCTAAGTCCAATATCTAGTCTTACTAAGATACAACTTTTGTTGGCTACTTTTCTCCCCCAATTATGGGTCACAATTTATGTGGCTTATAATTTTTTCTTGTCACTAGAAAATTTACGTAGTGTATTATAGCAATTGTGAATTCTGAACTCATTCTTTTTTTTTCTTGAAGGTTGTATTTGTTTATTTAATAACTTGCATGAACTTTAGCTGTAAAATCTGTCTCCTCTACTGCATGTAGCTACTGATGTATCTATCTGTCCAACTTTACAAAAAAATTATTTCAGTTTTTTAGCTTGAGTTTATAGAGTTCACACCTGCAATTGCATAGCTTAGTGTACTAGCTGATTGTTTGGAGGTCATGCTAAAGTTATACAGCTTAAGCCAGTAAGGGTTTCACCTTCTACTGGTGGATTAATTGTTTTGGAAAGTGTTTCAAAGTTCAGTCCTATTTATGTTTGCCTCTTTTACTTTCTATTGGGTCACACTAGGTCTCTCTGTGCATGGATGCAGATTTTCTTGTATCCAGGAATGCATGGAGAACTTGATCTCTCTCAGTTTTCCCTTTGTATACACTCAGTCTCCCAATTAGCTGATGTTTTATGGAGTAACTCGGGATCTTCTGTGTCTCCCTTGCACAGGAGAGCTTCCTACTCAACCAGGGTTATGTGGAGGACTTAGGCCATCTATTCAGGATATATGGACAGTATGATCTCTCTGGGGCTCTCCCATTTCCAAGACTTCCTTGCTAAATTTCTAGCCAGTCCTCGGGCCTATCACTTGTTCCAATTGTATAATAACATTCTCAGGCTGAGATAGTTATAGACTTTTCTATTTCCCACCAGGTGGGTTTTTCTTTTTTTTTTTTTCTCTGCTCCAAATCAAGGTCATCCCTCTTTGGCATTGAAGCTAATGGTTTTCATATCCAACCTCACCTTGATGGAACTTCTGTGCCAGTGGAACTGGGGTGGGGTATGAAGGTGGCTCCTGGTAAGTTGCCAGAGTTTCACTGTACTTACCAAGAAGTTCTATGATTTTTTTAATGAATAAACTCCTCTTGTATTTTTTTGCCTCTTGTTTATTGCCAGAGCATAAAAATTGTTGCTTTTGACAGCCTCATGCAGTTTTATAATTTTGGGTGTGAGTTATTTTGTTTTTCTTTTTAAAGATTTTTTTGCCATAGGGTGTGTGTGCTTACAGAGACACAGAGAGAGAGAGGGAAAATGAGAAATTAACCCTCTGGAGAAGCAGGACCATGTCACAACCCCTCCTCCATTCTCTCTGGATTTTGGGTGTGCATACACATGATGCCCAGTGTGTATTTCAGGCCACCTGAACTGGGACTTGAAATGCATAGTCAGCCATGTGGGATCCAGCGCCTAACCACCATGCCACCGATTTTAGTACTTTTTCATTGGACAGTTCAACTTCAGTGCTTGGATTTTAAAACCTAAGAATATTGGGGCCAGCAGAAACATAGTGGTTACATCGTTGGAGTCCCACATGGCAGACGTGTTATTGCTTGAAAATCACACTGGGTGCATATGCGTGCATGCCTGGAGGAGAAGGGATTAGGTTTGGCCACCCCCTCTTGGGAGTGAATTCTCACTTTCCCTCTCACTGTCTCTGTCTCTCTCCCTCCAGTAAGAGCATGTGCCCTAAAGCAAAATTCTCTAAAAAACCCAAAATAAAACAAAAATCCTAAGAATATTAACATTTCTAAGTCAAATGTTTTTTATAATTTATACTTCTTTGTGGGAATAGAGAACAATTTTTTTTTTTTTTTTTTTTTTTTTTTTAAGGAGAG